GGGGGCCCAGCCTGGAGAGCCCGGGGCTGGGGGAGTGAGGGGGGGCCCTGGGGTGCTCATGGTGCCATCCTGCACCCATTAGAGCCCCACAGCACCCTTGGGTGACCACTTGTAGCCCCTGGGGAGCCATGGGGCCCTTAGGTGCTGAGGGTGCCATCCTGCACCCCTCAGAGCCCCACAGCACCCTTGGGTGACCCCTTGTACCCTATGGAGCACAAGGGCCCCCCTGGGTGACCCCTGTACCCCACAGGGAGCAGTGGGGCCCTTGTGGTACCATCCTACACCCCACAGCACCCTTGGGTGATCCCTTGTACCCCCTGGGGAGCCATGGGGCTCCCTGGGTGACCCCTGCACCCCACAGGGAGCAATGGGGCCTTTGGGTGCTGAGGGTACCATCCTGCCCCACAGTGCCCTTGGGTGACCCCTGCACCCCACGGGGAGCAGCGGGGCCCCTAGATGCCATCCTGCACCCCCCATGGAGCCCAAGGGCACCCTTGGGTCCCCCCTGCACCCTGTGGTGAGCAATGGGGCCCTTAGGTGCCCACAGTGCCTTCCTGCACCCTACAGAGCCCAAGGGCACCCTTGGGTGCTCCCACACCCCCAGAGCCCCACGGCGGATCCAGGTGCCTTGAACGAGTCCTGTGCCCTGCAGTGTCCCCAGTGACCCCCAGCTCTGTACCCACCCTGGCTACGGGTGACACCCTGGGGACACCCTGTCACTGCCACCCCTGTACATAGACAATAAACCACCACAAGGGGCCAGCGCCTGTGTTGTTGCCTCTGTCACCCCATGTCACCCGTCACCTCCTGCCCCATCGCCCTGGGGTGACACATTCCTGCCACCTCCTGTCCTCCTCTTTTCCCCCCCCCCAGGGCGAGGAGGTGTCCCTATGTCACCTCCCTCAAACGAGTGACTTGTCTCCGTCACTCCATCCTGCCCTGGGGCACCACCTACCCATGCCTGGCACCTCCTGTCCCTGTCACCTCTGGGTGACACATGGCCCTCGCTCTCCCAGTGATCCCCAAGACCTTGTCCCCCCATCCCTGGCAACCTCCTCCCACCATGTCCCCCTTCTCCATCCCCACCCTGTCCCCTCCATCCTCATCCCCAGCCCTGTCCCCACCACCTCCCCAGCCCTATGTCCCAGTGTCACCCTGTCCCCAAACCTTCCACGCCCATCCCTGGCTGCTCCATCCCCTTACTCATCCCCTCTGTCCCCATCCCCTCTGTCACCTCCCTGTGCCACCTCTGTCCCCAGCCTATCCTGGCCCCTTCATCCTTGTCTCCATCCTGTCCTCCTCCATCTTAGTCCCCACCCTGGCCCTTTTAACTCTGTCCCCATCCTGGCCCCCTCCAACTTTGTCCCCATCCTGTCCTCCTCCATCCTGGTCCCCATCCTGGCCCCCTCCAACTTTGTCCCCTCCATCCTGGTCCCCCGCCGTCCCCACAGACGGGACACTCTTACAAAAAAACCCTTCTTTTTATTTACAAGGCCCCCGACCCGCGGCAGCGACACCTCTCAGGCGCTAACGGGCTCCCGCGGGGGCTGCAAGGAAGGGGAGAGCCGTGAG